GTATGCAGAGTACCATACTGCCAAAAACATCACCAAAAGGAGGAACACAAGGAAATTCTTTCTTTAGGAATTCAAGTAATTATTTTATCTTGGAACTGATTGGCTAAGTGGCTTTCAATTTTCTCTCATGAGTATTTCATTGATATCTTTAAGACCATGCTTTTCTCAACTATATTTATAATGTGTATTTTTTGCAAACCTACTTACTTTTCCTCTTTATAGATTACTACCATGACAATTACAGAATTTTGAAAAATGACATACTTTTATCTACTCTCTTTTTAATCAATGAAAATACAAATTTTGAACCAGCCTGTGGCCTGGTGGTTAAGGTGTCTAGATCTCACGTGGCTGACCTTGTGGGACTTTCTGACAAGGTGGCTAGGTGTGTGTGTGTGTGTGTGTGTGTGTGTGTGTGTCCAAAAATCTCAAAAGGAGGGATAAATAAAGGTAGGGTTCAGGCCTGACCATGCCCCATGAGGCAGTAGTCTCTCTCTTTCTCTCTTTCTTCTTGTGAGTGCAAGCACCCTCTGGGAAATGCAGAAGGGGGGAGAAAGGAAAGGGAAGAGGAGGAAGAGGAGGAGAAGAAGAAAATATAAGCTTTCAATCTCTTCAGAGACAATTATTTTCCAATGGTCTCTAAAGCTGGGTGCTTTACTGAATTACATTTAAGTAGTTTATTAATCTCATTATTGGCAAAGTAGTTTAATAAAAACTGCTATTAACTCAGACTTTAACCGCTAAAGAAAAATTTCAGAATCTGAGTTCTTCATTCTAGAAGTGGGGGAGATTCAACTACATGACACACCGTATTTAAAATTATTATGGCTTTTTATATAAACTTTCAATCCCTAAAATCTCTTCACTTCGATTTCAAGTGACATTGAATAATGCAAACAAATATTTTTGCTATAAATATGATCCACTACAGTTGACGGTCTTACTTTGTTTTCTAGGAAAATGCTTTCTTTATATCTTCCTTGTCAATTACTCTGTTGAATGTAAAAAATATTGTGCATGAAAAAATAAACTATGTTGGGACTAGCAGTTGGCATAATGGCTATGTCGCTGGACTCCCACATAGCTGACCGCAGTTTGAGTACCAGACCTGGTGGCTTAAACTCACGCCGGGTGTGTGTGCGTGTGTCCCCAAGATCCTGAGAGGAGAATGGAAGAGAAGGGATTGCGGCGTGGCCATCCCCCCCGGGGGGTGATTTCTTGCTTTCTATCTCTCTGTCTCTCTCTCTGTCTGGCGAGCGCACACGCCCTATAGCAAAAACCTCTCCAGATAAATAAATAAATAAATAAATAAATAAACTATGTGATTCATATTCCCTTAATTTAGTAGAGTATAAAAAAACTATAAAATTTAAAGTGTAGATATAAAAAACTTGGTGACGGTAAGGAAGTAGCATGGCAGAAGGATCTGACCTAACACTGAAGTGCCTTTTGTAGCTGAAGAATATCAGAATATGACATCCTATAAGAAGCTATTTTGGCATAAGGATTAATTTTAGCTAAAGGTAACAGAATCAGCAGATATAGAAAGAGTTCTATATGCTTCTTTTATCTACCCAAAAGCAGGGTATGAATTACTCTTTGTGGGAGCTATCTACCCTCAACAGTGGGAATGAGTGACTCTTAATATAGAAGACAGGTAGTCAATAGTGAGGTAAGTTTGTACAAGCAGAGCTTACTAAGACAGCCCTTATCTTACATTAGTCCCTCCATATATTCATTACTTACTTCACAATTTACCATCCCTTGGAGTTCAAATCCTTTTTTGTTAAAAAAAAGTATATATAAGTGCCTAAGTCTAATTACTTAAGTTTTGCTTTTCTGTGAACTCCCATGTACATAAATATTAATAAAAATAGTGTGCCTTTTCTCCCGTTAATCTCCCCTTCAGTAGTTTCATTCACATGTCCCTAGATACAGAACCTAAAAAGATGGAGGAAAAGTTTTACTCCCTGATAGAGCTATGATAAAACCCAGTGCTAAATGATATAATTTAGATAATGAGAATTAACAAAAGTGACTTTCATTCCAGCAAGCATTCATCACAGTGATAAGGACATCTTCCAGTAATAATATCATACCTTGATTTACATAGCAAAGAAGATATGACAAATAGCTCTGATTCTATAATGGAACAAAAAGGGAAGATATTTTTCCACTAAGTACAGCAAACGCACACCTGTGTCTGTATGTGTATATACATATACATATGTGTATATGTGTGTGTGTCTTCTGTTGTCATTTGTGAGTAATAAGGTGGCACCTCCTTATACCTGTTGATACAGTATAAGGAGAGGCTTTCTAAAAATGGAAATTTAATTAAATCCAGAGTCTCATAAAATAATTCTTCAAATGTCTAGGATATAATCCAAAATTACTCTTTATATCAATAGCAAGAAAAATGTCAATTTGAATGAAAAGACAATCCATAAATAGGAAAACCAAGATGACAAGCCTGATGAAATTATCTGGCCAGGACTTTTAAACATCCATAATAATAAAAGTAGAAAAAAATTAAACATCCATAATAAAAATATTTGAAAAAAAAATTATGTACATGCTTAAAACAAACAAGCAAAGAAAAAATAGTCTTGGCAAAGAAACAGAAGACAAAGAAGAAACAAAAGGAAACTGTAGCATTGAAAGATAAGACTGAAATAAAAAACTGAACAGATGAATCGAATGGTAGAATGCAAAAAATCGAGGAAAAAAATCAGAACTGAAGACAGAACAATATAAATGACTTAATCTGAACAACAAAGGTAAAACAGACTAGGAAGAAACAAACAAAAAAATAAAAATGAACAAAAGCTAGAGCCCCTTGGACCTATGGAACTTTAACAAAAGATTCAACATTCATGTAATCAGAGTTCCAAAAGGATAGGAGAAAGATGAAAAAATATTCAAAAAAATGATATCTAAAATCTCTCCAAGTTTGGCAGACATAAATCTACAAATATTAGAATTTAAGAGGTGGGGTCAGCCGGTGGTGTGGTGGTTAAGGCACTAGACTCCCACATAGCTGACCATGGTTTGAGACCTGGACCTGGCAGCTTGTTTTCTTACTCTCTCTGCAGTAAGTACAAATTTAAAAATAAGAAGAAGAATCATAAATAAAATTAAATAAATAATTCTTTATAAAAGAATCTAAGAGACTAAGTGAGCCCCATATAAGTAAATTCTAAGATCTTCAAGCAGATACGTATCATAGACAAATGATACCAAAGACAAAGGAAAGATCTTTAAATTAGCCAGAGATAAAGTAACTCCTTATTTTTAGAGGAAAAACAATTAGAATGAAAGAAAATTTCTCATCACAAAGTTAATAATTTAGAAGAAAATGACATGATATTGAAAGGAAGGAACTGTTAACCTAGACTTCCATATCTAGCAAAAAATATCCTCAGGAGTAAACAGGAAAATAAGACATTCTCAGAAAAGAGAAAACTAAGAATTTGTTGCTAGTATACCTATTCTAAAAGAATAGCTGAAGGAAGTTCAAATAAGAAAATCGTAAGAAGGTATCTTGGAAGGAAAAACAAGCAATGAAAAAAGTAAAATTAAGCTCTCTGAGAAAGGACAGATGTGAAGGACTACTAGACAACATGGAATAATACCAAGTGATAGCCGCCTGAGTAAGCCGCTGTGATTATGTGGTTGGACTGTGCATAACCAGAGCTTTGCTGTCTGGTATAAAGCATATCATAATTGACCAATATGGCGGAGAGGCTTGGCTGCCTACCCAACAGAAAAAACTTCCCTTCTTTCTTAATAACAAAATAATGACTTAGTTCTTAGCTGGGCTTTGTATGATTTAGGCAAGGTCAGCTACCTTACCAGACCTACAGACTGATTATGATTGCTCAATGTCAATTGTAATCCTTCACCTTTGCCAATACTTGGCTTACCCATGGGCTAGAAAAGCAATTCTAAATAAGGATTCATTAATAGATATCTTCTGATTGACTCCTGAGCAGTTTTCTCCATGAATAAGAATGCAGACAGTAAAATTACTATTCCTCTTTTTCTTCCTTTGGAAATCACTATGACACATGAAAATGAGGCAGTCAGTCTGAAACCATAAGGGGATCCTGGGCATGAAGCCAGGCTCAGATGTTATAAAAACCAGAATGATGAAAAGAAGCTGGGTTCTTGGTGACATCACTGCAAGGCTTAATTAACCAAACCTAGCATTAACCTACCTTTAGACTCATATTCTACGAAAGAACTTTTCTTATATGACTCTCACATCAAAACTATTTCTCTGTTACTGTCTTTCTTAGTCTTCTTTTTGCCCATTATAAAGGATGATGCAATGAACATCTTCTAGCATAAAACATTATCTGAATTTAGGATAACACTTATCATGAATATTGGTCCTGGAGTGAAATTTCTATGTCAGATGACATGGATAGTTTGGGAGTACTGTAGTGGTACAATGCTTTCCAGTAAACATGTTCTTCCTGAACTCTTACTGGCAATACGTGTGGCCTGTTCTGTTAGATCCTTGCCAAGTCATTATTTTCCCTTCATTCTTGTTGACAGAACCTGAGTTGGAAATTCATGATTGGTTCAAAACAATCTTGGTAATCTCAGTTCCTTCCTTGAGTCTTCTTTACAAATAGGATAATACATTATATATACTGCCAAAAGTTCCATGAAAAATTTTGCCTATGTCAGCCATTTTTGTACCACAAGGTAAAACAGACAACTACTGATGATAGCACAATGGACAACGTGACTGGAAACAGACTCCTCCTAGCTGTTTCACTTATGAAGACTGGCTTAAGTTTAAAATTAAAAAAACTGCTTATTAATAGTCACCTTTGCTCCAAAAGAATTAGAGTTAGATACTACTTGAAGAATATTAAAAAAAAATGTAGTGCTTAGGAATTTGGACTTTATAACATGAAGAATACTTTTAATTCAATATGGTCTTCAAATAGATTGCAAAAATAAATGAACAGAAAATGTATACTTACAAATCAAACACCAAGTAATGGAAGCCCTCTTCTGATATGCTGTCATGAAGTCGCACTAAAAATAAAGGGAAAAAAAAAGAAAGTTTACATTTCACGTATGTCACTAACGAACACTAGGCCTGATTTTTAATTTCCATACTGGAAATGTTAACAATGTCATCTTTATTTGAACCTCTGCTAAGTCAGTATCCTTTAAAGCGTGGCTTGGGTTCACAAATGGACAACTGTTGTGTTTGGGGAATGATGATTAACTATGTGATCTTAAGAAATTTACTTAATTTACTTAATATCAGTACCTATATTACATAAAACAGTTAAGATTAAATAAGATAGTAAAAATAAAGTAGTTGACACATTGCCAGATACATATCCAAATATCCAACATTACAAGGTTCTAGTAATTCTTCCACTTTCTTGCCATTCCTTTTGCTATCAACCTAGTTTAAGTATTTGCCAACTCACGACTGATCACTGCCATCGGTAGCAGGAGGGATCATTTTAAGAGGCTTGTATTAAAAATAGTCTCCCTGTCTCTGCTTTTCCTTTTATCTAAGAATTTCTATATATTTTGGCATGGCCAACCTGCAAAAACAATTTTTTTATTCTGTTACTTCTTTACTCAAGTTTATCAAGTCATTAGTCAAGAATATACAGCTTGAACTTTTAATAAACTAATTTACTTGTGGGGCCAGCAGGTGGCATAGTGGTTAAGGCACTGTACTCCCACGTGGGTTGACCACAGTTTGAGTCCAAGACCCAGTGGCTTGAGACTCACACTGGGCACGAGCATGTGTGTGTGCCCCAAATCCCAAGAGGAGAATGGAGGAGAAAAGATGGCGAGATGGCCATGCCTCTGGGGGTGACTTCTCAGTTTCTGTCTCTCTCTTTCTATCTCTCTGGTGAGTGCACGCACCCTATAGCAAAAATCTCTCTCTCAAAAAAAAAAAATCTACTAGTTTCTCAAATTAATACTATTTCAAATTTTCTGAGCTGGGTTTTCATGATAACTCTGGCTGAAACAAATGATTTTTCTGAATTTGAAACACTAATCGTCTACCCTAAACTAAACCACACATGTAAAACTTACATACTGCTTTGTCTGCCTCTTATATCTGCATGAGCTTCCCACTTTCCCTTACTTATCCTTTATAGAAGGTAATTTCTTCCTATCTATCTAAATCAATTGTGGGTGATGGCTTGACTTTCACTGGGAAGCAACAGAGGGCAGGGAGTGCAGCACACACAAATGCTTTCACAGGAGTCACCACAAAGGTGATTTCTACTACAGCTTGTCCTTAGGTATGCTCTCGATGCAGCGATGCCCACTATGTTTACAAAAGAACACCTAGGTCATTTTGTGAACTACCAGCATCTACAGATGGAGTCTATAGTACTTCGGAAACCCCCAAACTCAAGATATAATATAATCTTCACTCTTTATAATCCAATCCCATCCCCTTGTGATCTCATTCTTGGCCCACTATTAAAATCTTTTCCCAATCCCTCTCCAGAAATTTCTCCAGCATGGAGAAAGAGAGACATTTGCTTCACCACAGTTATAGATTATTATTTGTAAAATGCATATTTTCTACTGTCATTAATACAAGGAGGAGGACTACAATGGAGGCAGCTGGGAATGTGGCCATCGCTGTTCAGTCTCAGACTCTCTACTCCACTTGGCTCTTGAATATATGAAATGAAAACACATTGCTGTGTTCCTCTCCTTCTTTTATTTTTTTTTTTTGGTCACAGTGTCACTTGTGAGTTCATGGATGCATCATATTAACTACATGTAAATATCATTTCCTTCTTCTATTCTTTAGTATACAGTATATCCTCATCAATACTACCAAATAGGAAGCATGTTTTGTAAGTCTTGGCATCCCACACAAATACCTGGTACAAAGTGCATGCTCTTTCATAAAATCATTTTTGAATATTTGCTATATCAGGTTATTGGAAAGAAATTTTCACCATACCTCAGTATACCTATATATGTTTAAAATAAAATGGCTGATAAACAGGCAGTATTCTTGAAACTTTGTGTCAAGAGTATTCTTCAATTTGCTAATGCCAGAAATGCCTGTAACCTTTGTTTGAGCTTATGCTGCCTAAGAAAATCAAGTATTTGACTTGTTGATGAATCTCCTAGTCATGATCATTAAACAAAAATAAAGTCTGATCAAGGCAGATAATTCACTGACTTTCTTGAATGACAATCTCAGAGTACATCAATGAGCAGATACAACACAGTCGGTGTTGAAATGAGTTCAACTAATGAAATAGCTACATAAAGAACTAATGCAGTTATTCTGGATAATAAAGTAAGTTCCTATACTATCAGAATTAAAATGAAAAGTAAAATTCACATTACGACAGGAGGAGATCACTACTTTCTTTGATTGTCTTAAAGTCAAAGTTTCAAGGGAAGGCGGGATCTCATGTGTTCAGGTCAATGAGTTACAGAGTTGAACAAAGGAGGATCTTTCAGGTATAATTACAGGAACAGTAGTAATTTCTGGCTAAACTAGGAATAAAATATTCTTAGTACAGTTATCATTATCTTATAAATGATCATCATTTGAAAATGAGTTATTTTTGAACAAATCAAGAGTTGCTCAGATGTGGTTATTTCTCCCTTTCCCTCTCACTGTCTCTCTCTGGGGAGCGCACACACCATGGCAAAACCTTAAAAAAATTTTTATTGCGGCACTATTCATGATTGCTAAGACATGGAACCAACCCCAATGCCCCTGCACGGATAAATGGATTGAAAAACTGTGGCACACAAACTATGGAATACTATTCAGCCATAAAAACCAACAACCCTGGCTTTTGACAGAGAGTGGAAGAACATGGAAGATTTACTGCTGAGTGAAGCAAGCCAGGCTATGAAGGAGAGACATTGTATGTCCGCACTTTATATATACTGAATGTCTGCACTCTATGACTGAAACTGATTGACTAAAGGTTGTACAAACATAAGAGACGGGTGTGAATGCCAGAAGTGTGTGTGGAGAGGAGTGGGGCCTAAGGAAGGACATTTGGAGGAGGGATATGGAGGCAGAGCACTGACGGGATGGGGAGGTGTGGTGTTATTGGTTGAAGATATTTTGATCAACTGGACTGGGGAGAAATGTTCACATATTGAAATGTTCACTTTGTAAGCTAAAAAATGTGACTGAATGTATAAAAAAATAAAAATTAATTTAAAAAGTAATTGGAATAATAATCAGGAAAAATAATGAAAAGCTATTGGATGATGAAATGGGGATTTTAATGTCTCTGTATTGACTGATATACATGGTATTCCTTCTGGAAAAAGAAATGTAATACACTGTAAAGTTATGCATGATTCAAGGTAATATAAACAAGATTATGATGATAATAAATAAATTGTTTAAATATATTTTTTAAAAAAATAAAGTTAAATAAAATAATTCTTAACCAAAAAAAAAAAGAGTTGCTCAGATGTAAGTGTGATTATCAAACATGTGATACAAAAGAATTTAGCATGCAAGCATGTGATAAAGGTTTATGAGAAGCTATTTGGCCAATTTCACTCTGTTAGCATTTCACAATTCTGAAATAATCTCTAATGTATCTAACCAGCCATTTGATCATGTGAAATTAATTATAAATAAATGATGTTATTGATGCAGCAGAAAAATCTCAGCATCATCTTAATTGGGAACAACGAGTACACATTTTCTTCTCTCATTTTTCCTTTCTTCTTTACATCCTTCCCTACCTTCTTTTACTATCTTTTTAAAATAAAGACCTGGAAATATAGAACTACAATGAAGTCATCACAATTTGCCCTGATCGATAAATACAATTATTTATCTAGTCTTCACACGGATATTCTATATGATTATAATTACTTTGAGAACTGGCTTGTTTCCTTTTAAACGTTTTGACTCTAACCATTATTCTTGTAGTTGACAATACTATTCTTCATTTTCCATTCTTTTTTTCTTTATAACAGTTTGTTGAGGGTTGAAAACTGTGTTTACTTTTACAAATGTCACAGTAATTATTCCCTATAAATAACTGTCAATTCATTTCACACCAAAGGAATTACAGAGTGTTCTGTTCCTCGCAGCTGTGAGTGAGGAACTGACTGACTGCATGGCTAGCCTTGAAACTCTGTGGCTGCTGCATGTTTAAGCATATTGTACCACGCTCTCATGGCGGCTGTGCTCCCTCACCGCCGTAGGCTGAGCATATGGGTGCCCATGGTTAGCCTAATTATGGTCGTCCCTCCAGTGTTTCTAGAGAGAGATTTTAGAGAAGATAATGAGAAGAGCATTTGAGAAAACAGGTTATAATAGATCTTGGCAGTCACTCATTTTTGAAGTTTGCTTAAAGGTAAAATTAAGTCTATAAATAAATGCATTTTCATAAGCTAAGTAGTTCCTACCTGAATATAATTTAAAATTCTATAATTTTAACTATAAGATTTATAAGGAAGAAAAATGTGCTTCAGAGGCTAAAATATTTCCAAAGGTTAGCTGACCTATGGCCCAGTTCTTTCTCTCTCTCTCTCTCTCTCTCTCCCCCTGCATGTATTATCGATTTAGTAGTTTGCATTCAAATTATCACAGGATCATGCTTCCTCTTCCTGTTCTATGTCCTTGCACACTTTCACTGTGGTTTCTAGCAAGGTGCCAAATAGGAACAAGGCCCTTGCATGATCTGAGAAGAGAAAATGTATTTAAATATGATAGAAGTTTCCTATTTCATATTTAATTTCATTTATGAGTTAAGAAACAAACATCATTATAATGCCTACTATGTCAGGAACAATACAAATAATTTTTACAAGAGTCACTTTGTTTAACCTATACAAGCACCAATACGGTATTTTTCCATCATCTTTTACAAATAAGTGTACACAGAATTAGAGACATTAAGGAAACTTCTGGGCTGACAACTAGTAACAGGCCAGGCTAGAATGAAATTCTAGAGTTGACAGATTCTACGGAACTACCTTATTCTTACCAAAAATACTATGTGGACTCCCTAAAATACAAGCATCAGCAAACTAGTCCC